GTTGAGCTTTTTGCTGGCATTTTCTCATTTCATCAACCCTACAAGATAAGGTTGTTTCTTTCACTTCAATGATTAGGTGATTTAGGTTCCAGATACCCAATGACTGGCCTGGAGTTGATCCTTCTGATTGCAAACTCAGGCCCTTCCCATTGCCCAGGGGAATTTCCTGGGCAGATCTCCAGTCCAGATCTCCATAGGATCCATATTCTTCACTCCTCACCTACAGAACAGGTCTCACTGCTGCTGAAAATCCATGACTGGGTGGTCAGGGAACGAGACCTTCTATTCTTAAAGTGGCCACTAATTTACTGTGTTGTTCCTGGAAAGTTGCTTCCCTTCTCTGGGCCTCAGTTTCTTTGTTTATAAAACAACAGAATTGGACTAAATAGTGTCTCCTAACTTCACCTAAACCAGAGTAGATTACCTCAATTTTCTTCTAGATCACAAAACTGGGCACACTTTTTAAAATTTTTAGACATTTTACATTTTTGTCTGTTCAGTGAGGCATGTGGGATGGGATCTTAGTTCCCTGACCAGGAATTATACCTACTATATCCCCTGCAGGGGAAGCCCGGAGTCTTAATCACCAAACCACTGGGAAAGTCCCAAACTGGACACACTATTTTTTTCTTCCTTTGGCTCTTTGTTGCAATGCGTGGTCTGCCTAATTGTGGCGTGCAGGCTTCGTTGCTCCGCAGCATGTGGGATCTGAGTCCCGTGACCGGGATCAAACCCGAGTCCCCTGCAATGGAAGATGGATTCTTAACCACTGGACCACCAGGGAAGTCCCTATTTTTTTTAACGGGCCACTCTTTGAAGCATGTTTCTTTAACGGGGCACTCTTTGAAGCATGTTTCTTTTTTGTTTGTCATCCTACACCTCATCCCCACTCTGTACCCAGGCAGCAGCACACACACTCGTATTCCACACACTGGGACTCCCTTAAAAGCCTAGTACAATGACTGGCTCATGGGTCCTAATTTGAAATTTTGAAAAACCTACTCCAGTTTTTTAAACTGAAACTAAAGCATACCTTTCTCCTAAAATTAGTGCTCTAAAGCGAAGTCTCCAATCTAACATTATCCCTAAATTGGACCTAAAATATCTAAGGAAGTGGAAGTGTTAATTGCTCAGTCATGTCTGAATCTTTGCAACCGCATGGAGTGTAGCCTGCCAGGCTCCTCTGTCCATGAAATTCTCCAGGCAAGAATACTGGAGTGGGTTGCCATTCCCTTCTCCAGGAGATCTTCCCAACGCAGAGACTGAACCCAGATTCTTTACTGTCTGAGCCACCAGGGAAACCCAACATATCTAAGAGTATAGCTTATTTCTGGCAGGAAGCAATTGATTTAGATTTAGTTACTCAAGGAAAGAGCTAGGGTTTTGTTTCCTTTCCTTTTTTTTTCCTACTCAAGTGATTCTTGTTCACTGTTGACAGATTAGAAAAGCACATGTGAAAAAGGGAAACTAAAATCACCTGTAATCTTGCCCCTTAAATGTAACCATTGAGAATATTCTGGCTTTATACTCATCTAGACTTTTATTTTTCCTATTTATGTATAAATGTGCATATTTAAGTAAAAAGTAGAGCTTATATACTGATTATTTTTTTCTCACATGCCTCAGAGGGTGGGACTTGGTAGTGAAGTCACTGAAACCTACTAGTCAGTACAAGAGTAAGCCAATCTCTCCAAGCCTCGGTGGGTTTTGTTTGTTTTTATTTTTAAGTTTTATTGAAATATAGCTTATTGACAGTGTTGTGTTAATTCCTGTTATACAGCAAAGTGACTCAATTATATAATCTTTTTCATATTCTTTTCCCTTATGGTTTATCACAGGCTATTGAATATAGTTCCCTGGGCTATACAGTAGGACCTTGTTGTTTATCCATCCTGTATATAGAAGTTTGCATGCTAATCCCAGACTCCTAATCCTTCCCCTTCCCACCCTGCTTGGCAACCACATGTCTATTCTGTATGTTTGTGAGCCTGTTTCTGTTTCATAGATGAGTTCATTTGTGTCATATTTTGGATTCCACATTTGAGTAATAGCGTATGATATTTATCTTTCTCTTTATAATTTACTTTGCTTAGTATGATCATCTCTAGGTCCATCCATGTTGCTGCAAATGCAAGCCTCTGTGTTTTAGCTGTAAAACGGAGGTAATAATACCTGCCTAACTCTACTCCTGGGAGAAGGCAGTAGCACCCCACTCCAGTACTCTTTTGCCTGGAAAATCCCATGGACGGAGGAGCCTGGTAGGCTTCAGTCCATGGGGTCGCTAGGAGTCGGACACGACTGAGCAACTTCACTTTCACTTTTCACTTTCGTGCATTGGAGAAGGAAATGGCAACCCACTCCAGTGTTCTTGCCTGGAGAATCCCAGGGGCGGGGGAACCTGGTGGGCTGTGTCTATGGGGTCACACAGCGTCGGATACGGCTGAAGCGACTTAGCAGCAGCAGCAGCAACTCTACTCCTTATTGTGAGGACTAGGCGTTACGTAAATTACCCAGCTATCTAGCGCTGGCCTACAGTAGATGCTAAGTAAAAGATAATTAGCTAGGCCTCATATCACCTTCTTTTTATTTCTTAACCAAACCAATAATCAAGATTTGGATTCAGAAGGCCTGAGTTGCAATCAGAACATTTCTTTGTCTTTAAGAGTTTAAGCATAATATTAAAGCCAATCAAAAACCAAAATCACCAAGGGGAGATGCAAGAAAACCAACCCCAAGTCTCTTCTCAGACACCTAGGACACTTCAATCAGGAGTGTTTGTTCACTCTTCGAGAATCTAAGCCTCATCAAGTCCCCTTTCTGGTCCAAGTAGCTCTGAATCAGCTTTTTATAAAATGTAAAACCGATGCAAAATAAATATCAAAATATTTTTCATTACTTAGTTGGCCTTGGGCACAGCATCAGTGATTCAGTTTCAGAAGGACTTCTCATCCAGAATTGCCTGTTTCACTATTAAACCTCCTGAGAGAGGGCTGACTTCTACTTCCCCAAAGTTAGGGGGGAAAATGTTTCAGAAGAGAAAAGTTGTCCCATTTTTATTTTAAACTCTAAGAAGAGGTAGCATTCCTAGAACAGAGATGGTTCTAACTGCATGGTTTGTGATGTAACTTCTGTGTTGAAGGGAGGAGATGGGTAATAATAATACCTAAGGATGGGGGGTGGGATGAAACCTCAGAGCAAATAACACAGAAGTTACATCCCAAACCATACTTGATTCAGACCCAAGCAATTGGGATGTAGGCACTAAAGTCCCGCCCACTTTGTGTACAGTATTGGGAATCTAGTGCTGAAGCGTTTGTGAATGGGTTTCTCAGTTTTCTGATGGCCCAAACCAAAAAAGACAGTATCCTTCATTCTCCTTCAGGAATCATTTAGGAGTGTTTGCTATATATAGCCTGGGCCCTTCGTTGAGAATCAATAATAGAAAGACAAATGGGACCATTCCTTGCTTTGGAGGAGCTCACGGGTTACTGGGGTAAGCAATTCTGCACATTGTACAACAGAGCCTCGTAGTAGAGGGCAGATAGTACCCCGATGGAGGCATGGCCTGAATGTGCTGGGCAAAGAGGGTACGGCCCGTGGCTCCGCCTCCTGACTGTGCCCAGATGGGTGAGCTCTGCTCGCTGAGCTGGGAACTGTCTTCTCCTTTTGCGCCCTGGAGGAACCAGGTCAGAGATCACCTCCTTTCCTGGCCCTGGGAAACTTTGGTGATGGTTGGTAACGGCTTTGTGTAGTCTACTGGGAAGATCTCATTGAGAAGGTAACATGGAAGCCAAAACCTAGGAGTGAGGGAGCTGGTTATTTGGGTATCAGAGCAAAGAGCCTTCCTGGAAGAGGGACACAGGTTCAGATCCCAAGGAGGAGTGGATGCCTGGATGCCTGGAATGATTGCTGGATGGCAAAGGAGGGGTGTGGTTGCAGCGGGTGTGTGGGTGAGTGTGCAGGAGGGGCTGGGGGGGGTTGCTCAGATCAGGAGTCTGTTGGGTACCCGCTGTAGAGCCTTTTTAGTTACTTTAAGGCCTCTGCTCTATGTGATATGAAGTCCTCTTGGGGTTTTGAGCAAGAGGAATGGCATTGTCACTCCAGCTGCTACATTGGGAATTGAAGGCTTTGTGGGAAACCAGTTAGAGGTTACTGCAAAATTCAAGAAGAAGATAGATGGTGGTGACTTGGACCGTTTCCATCACCCCGAGAAGCTGATGGGGGAAATGTGCAAGGGGACTGATGAGGCATAGATCCAAGATAGTTTTTTGCTGATAAGATATTAGCAAAGAGTCTCACTGTAATATAGTTTATTTTTGCCATGAGTCAGGCTTTATTTACCAGTTCTACTGACATTTGTTCCACCCTGGCTGCCTGCTAGGTTAGACACTTGGAACAGCAAATACAATCTGCCCCTTGAAACTCTCAGTGGAGCAGAATTATAGAGATTCTACCCAAATATAACATCATCAGCACCATAAAAAACCCCAGCTGCTGCAATATGATGTTTTTACAAATATAGGGAAACATTAGCCAAAACACTGAGGATTTACTATGTGCTTGACAAGCCCATGTGNGCAATATGATGTTTTTACAAATATAGGGAAACATTAGCCAAAACACTGAGGATTTACTATGTGCTTGACAAGCCCATGTGTATGATTATGATATGTGATTGTTATAATTATTACAGTTGGATGCTCTTCTTTATAACCCAACTAGACTGCTACAAATAAAGAAACTAGTGGTCAACAACCTAATATTCCAGCCTAAAAATGTTATTTCTGGGCTGTGCAATCCAGCATTACCAAAAACCCTAACAACCCTAGTGCCTCCCCAAAACCCATCATAGAAAATGCATGTGCCATTTTTTCCAAGCGTCTTCTCCCTTCCTAACCCATGGAATCATGTTCCTAGTCCCTTAATCTCACTGACTGGTCAGCCTATTTAAGTCCTATTTATTGCATGTCTGTTTTTCCATGTCATTCTTTGCCTTAAAGAAGGTTAAGCTGAAACGGCAGCTCAGCTTCGGAGATGTTACCGTCCAAATTGCATGCGCTTTTCTGCCTCTGCACCTGCCTTGCGCTGGTTTATCCTTTTGACTGGCAAGACCTGAATCCAGTTGCCCATATTAAATCAGAAGGTAAGAGGTATATTTGTTCAAGGGCTTGAACTATCCACCTGTTGCCAGACTCGAAGTGGCCCCAGGGACGTTATGTGTGGGATCGTCTAAGAAGGTGCTGATGGAGATCCTTAACTCTCCTGAGGGAGTGGAGGGGCCTCACTCTTCTTCCTACTGAACCTGGAGAAAGAAGTGCCTTCTTCTTCAACATCAGAACTGCAACACAGGGACCTCCCTGGTGGTCCACTGGTTAAGACTCTGCACTTCCAGTGCAGGGGATATGGGTTCGATCCCTGGTCGGGGAAGTAAGATCCCACATGTGGCATGGCCAAAAGAAAAGGACTGCAGGACTGCTCAGATGAGGCCTTTTCAGACAAGCTGGAAGCTCAGCTTGCAATCACGGAGGTAAAGGTCCACACTGCCTTTTTTTAGTGCATCACTGCCCTGATCCATGCCCTCTGGGTACAGTAACACATCTCCCCTGGAGTGCCCTCCGAGGAAACCCCAAACCTGCCCCCACGATGGTGAAGAAGAGGCAGGTGTCTCAATCAACAGGTGTAGTCCTGGTTGATGGTGGGGAGGTGTTAGAAGATGGTGATTTAGAATTTGGATCCAGAGTCAGACAACATTTTCTGTCTAATGACGGGGAAAAGCAGGGACCAGCAGGCACCTGGAGTCCCAGATAAGAATGTGACTCTTTCTTACCTGCTCTTTCTTATCTTTTGTGGGGAGGGAAGGAGAAGAGGCGACAGAGGATGAGACAGTTGGATGGCATCACCAACTCAATGGACATGAATTTGAGCAAACTCTGGGAGATAGTGAAGGACAGGGAAGCCTGGCGTGCTGCAGTCCGTGGGGTCGCAAAGAGTCAGACACGACTGAGCGACTCAACAACAGCGACAAAAGAAAGGAGGCGGAGGCTTGGTTAAGCCCAGGAGTGGTGGCCAGAGTGGGTCAGCCATCTCTAGACAGGGACATCTATGACCCCCAAAAAGACCTTGATTGCAAAGTGATTCCTTCTGGAGTCTTGAGAACGCTTGCTAATTTCAGACAGTTGGGCTCAGGAATTCTCTCATCTGCTCAGGTGAGCAGTGTTGGTGGCCTCTGAAAGGTACCATACTGTCTGTATCCACTGACCTGTGCACCTAGGGAGACATGACTTCTCTGGATCTAGTTGTGCAGGGTTGATGGGTGACTCCTGACTGTGACATTTACCAAAGATCTTTCATAACCCAATGCCTTACCAATCTGGCCCTACTTCATAGATGGGGAAATGAACACAACAGCAGGAGAGAGACTAGATCTTCTGTCTATATTTGCATAGAAATGACCTCTTATCTCACAGGTCCATTCATGCAACAATACTTATCAGAAAGGTGAGGCATGAGTCATACCTCATTGGTGACTAACACAGAGGACTCATAATCGAGTTCAAGGGGCCTACAGCCTAATTATATTAATTCTCTCGGTACCTTATCTGTAGGTTGAAAACAGGTGGCACCTTACATGATGAGCAGATTCTTTTACATCATGTGCTTTATATTGGTACAGGGTGGGAATTTCAAAACATGTACCCTATTCCCCCATGTTTGAAAATAGCTGGAAAGTCGTTATTGAGCCAGCAGAAACTTGAGGACACTGCTTGATTCATCTGTCCTCCCAGCCCATTCATCCTAAATACTCAAAAAACAATGCATGAATATGTTTTAAATTATTAGAAATAGTTTATTCAATAAAAGATGAAAGTAATGTATGATTATTTGTATCCTTGGTATTAAATGAATTCATAGAAAATATGGTCATATAGCTAAAAGGTTTATTAGCGTGGCTAGAGATGTCCCATTTGTTAATGGAGGACATAAAATCATAAAGAGAGGGTCATTTTCCTCACATCTGTACAATCCATCTCCAACCCCAGAAATAGACATCGGGACTGTATGATAAATGAACATCACCAAAAATGTATACTAAGATTAATAGCATGCCATAGATTCTAATGCTCCTATTAAAATGAAGTTGAAGAAAAATGGGAAGTGGCATCTCTAAGTTCTGAACCATAAAACTATATCACCTAGAGAGTGGCCATTCAATTTAGAAAGATGGTAACGATAACCCTATATGCAAAACAGAAAAAGAAACCCAGATGTATAGAACAGACTTGTGGACTCTGTGGGAGAAGGCGAGGGTGGGATGTTTCAAGAGAACAGCATCGAAACATGTATATNAGTCAGTTTACATGTTGAATTTAATTTCTCCTCTACAGCAAAGTGAATCAGTTATACACACACACACACACACACACACACACACACACACATTTGTTCTTATTCTTTTCCATTGTGGTTTATCACAGTACATTGACTAGTTCTCTGTGCTATACTGTAGGACCTTGTTGTTTGGTGAAACTTTTTTGCAACCATCCTGGCACTCACCAGCCACAGGGCCCAGGAGACCTATACTCAAACCTGAGTCAGCTCAAAGTTTTCTGAGACCATCTCAGGGGTCAGGCATCCTGGAACTGGCAGCCTAGCAGTTTTGCCTTGTCCTGGGCTCCTGAACGCTGGATGAGGCTTTTTGGTAGAGCTGGTTTTAGAGGACCAGGTTACTCTGAGGTGAGTGGAAATGTTCCCAGAGCTTGGGTGGAGCTGACATCTCATAAACCTTGTACAACATGGAACCCATGGTTCTAGAACTGGACACTCAATTCTAGAGGTAGTACTTCCCAGACAGCTGTGGGTTCTCCGGGGCTCCTCACCAAGCTGTGGTTGGAGTCCCTGTGGCCACACCATGGTTCCTGTGGGTGGGGGCTACAGGAGAACCCAGGCTGCTTGTCACAGAAGGCCTGCCCTCCTGTCCTCTGGACTTGAAGTCTTGCTATTACATCATGAAGGACCACTCAGCCGACAGTCTTAAATGGGAGAGAAAAAGCCTTTTGTAATCCTAAATAGACCCTAAAATGTTAGCCTTATAGGTAAAGCTTGTTGAAGAATTGTTTCAGAGGAAATGCCTTGGATTTCGTATCTATACAGAGAAAAATGGTATGATCTAGTGTGTGTGCATGCTAAGTCGCTTCAGTCTTAGTGTCTAACTCTTTGTGACCCCGTGGACTGCAGCCCACCAGGCTTCTTTGTCCATGGGGTTGTCCAGGCAAGAATACTGGAGTGGGTTGCCTGCCCTCCTTCAGGGGATCTTCCTGACCCAGGGATTGAACCCATGTCTCTTATGTCTTCTGCATTGGCAGGCAGGTTCTTTACCACTAGCACCACCTGGGAAGCCCATGATCTAGTGTAGATCTGCTAAAACTCCTCTTCGGGCTTGAATTTGGGTCACCAGAGTTAGCTAACTGTAGGGAAGGGGCAAATAACCTCGGTTGTCTGCCTGTTACAGGTGGTGGTCATAACACACCTGTAAGTCAAGTCAGGACATGAGTTTGAGGGAGTTCTGGGAGTTGGTGATGGACAGGGAAGCCTGGTGCACTGCAGTCTATGGAGTGGCAAAGAGTTGGACATGACTGAGTGACTGAACTGAACTGGTCAAGTCAAGCTACCTTGATTTATGTGATCACTTGATCCATACAGCTGTGCTGAGGGCTGACCAAGTGATTATATCCCCACTTTACAAATGAGGATCAGAGAAGGGAGTAAGTTGCCTAGGGCAGAGTGGCATAGCTTGTAAGATATACAACTGAAACCCAAGATAGCATCACTTGGCTCCAGCACCAGGGTCCATTCATCACAACCATTGCCTTCCTTGGAGCTATCTCCTACAATTCGAACATGAATTGCTGACTGTGTGTCAGGCCAGGTGGTCTGGTACCTTAGCCCAGTGCTTCTGACAAAAGACACAACTTTTCAGATTCAGTCGAATTGAGGTGAGGCCTAAGAGCCTCATTCCCAAGCTCCCATTTAAAGCCAGTGATGCTGGTCCATGGACCAACTTGAAGTAGCAAGGCCTTGTGAATTGAAAGGCTCATCACTGGCAGGTGCTTCACACACCAGTGTGGAGGATGTAAATGACCTTCTTCTCATGACTCAACACCTTTCTGAGAGATGCCCTATGAAGTCAGATGCCATGCATAACATAGTTATGTGTCTACATGGCAGAGGCAGAGTGTGATAGAAAGCATGAAAGACTGTCCAGCAAAGTAATCACCTCTCACAGTGCAGAAGAAGGAATGGAGCAGGCTAGCTGAATCTAGAAAAGTGAGTCCAGATGCATTGATACATGCTGAAATTAAATGTGGACTTGATTGTGGGTTAGAAAGGAGAACAGGTGAGATTTCAGGTGGGTTGAAGGGTTTTGGCGCCAGAGAGAGAAAATATTTCAAGAATGGGTGGATAAAAGAATATATGCCATAAAGCATTTAACAGAGACAGAAGAGACCCAGTGACAGTGTAAAGCTTAGTTCTGGTCATTTTCACAAATATTTATTGAGCTCCAATCATGTGCCAGATACTGTGTTAAAGATCTGAGGATACAAAGATGTGGATGCAGCTCTTATGAGCTACTCTTAGGAGACAGAGTAGTAAAACATAATTTTAGTCTAATGTGATAGGAAGATAAAAAGATATACAGGGAATTTATTTAATACTGAGGGTGAAATGACTAAGTCTGGGGAATCAGAGAAGGTTTCAGAGAAGACCTGACATCCAATCAAGATGTTAAAGGTTGAATAGGAGTTTGCCATGGGGGTTTCAAATGCAGGGAACAGCATTGACTAAGGCGCAGATGCAGGGAACAGCCCACTGTGTTGCTCAGGAGATCTGCAGCACATAGAAGGGAGGTAACTTATGGGGAAAAAAGAAGAGAAGGAAGCAATGGACCTTCAGATCACCGAGGGTCTTTCTCACAGTGCCCGGGAACTTGGGATTTAACGTGTACACCTATGAATCTCTCCGAGTTTCAACTCCCCAGTAGAGAAAAGAAGCCGCCCCACACTGGAAGGCATTGTCGATTTGAATACAACCTACAAACTGCCTTCCAGAAAGATTCCAATACATGCTCTCTTCAAGGAAAAACAACTGGTGATAGGAAGGCATTGAAGGATTTGAAGATGAGCCTGGTGAGATTCATACTCTCAATCCTTCCAGAAACTATGTGAAGGATACAGTTGAAGGGGTCAGGATCCAAGGTGAACAGGATGTTCAGGAGAGATGGTGACTGGTCAGAAATACTGAAGGTGTAAGTGAGACAGTTGAGCTAGCAGAGTAGAGATATACTGGAGAGAGAATGCTAAGCTAAAAACAAATGTTAGAAATTGGAACTTGGTTGGATGCAGATGGCAGGGGAGAAATAAGAGAGTAGCATGATTCCTAGGTTTCTGACTTGGGATCCCCAAGCTATGGAATTCTGGAGCTGCGGGCTGTGTGGTTGGAGGGTGAAGTGGGGGAGTTGGGAGACAGTCATGTAATTTCACTCTGGATCATGGGCTTTGCTGTGCCTGTAGGAAGGTTGTCAGATGTAGATATCCAGTGGGAAGAGCTCAAATCTGAAATATCAGGTAAAGTTCATGTTTAGGAAAAATAGATTTAGGAAGTGGCCTTTAATATGCTCTGGACAGGTGTAGCAGGTTAGGGCAAAGCTACAAGGATTAGGAGGTGATGCTCATCTTAAGCATCTTAGGAGAAGGGGGATGTCAACTGCCATCTTTTTCCCCACACAGTTCTTCACATACGGAGGGTCTTCAATAACTATTTGTGTATTTTACTAGTTAGTGAAAAAATGAAGGCCAGAAACTATGGGTGGTCACTTGATTCCCTCCAAGTTTCTTGGCATAATCAAGTCTGGGGAGTCATGGATGACAAGTGAAATGATACTGACCTGTTTTCCAGCATGGGTCAGCAAGATGCAAGCTCTGATGGCTGCCGCAAGCATTGGCCAAACTAAAATCCCCAGAGGCAATGGATCTTATTCCGTCGGTTGTACAGACTTGATGTTTAATTACACTAATAAGGTAATGTTTTAATACCATTTATCCTTACATTCTAATATTGACTGTGGCTATGGTCCATGAGAAGGTTTTGAAAACTGACCCTGCTCTCAGCTGAGAATTACTCATTTTGTCACTGGTATGATTTCATGGCAAGCCTTTGGCTGGTGAAGCCATTCCTCGGGTCACTGCTGTCTGCAGATTAACTTATCTATAAACTCAGTTTTCCTCCCTTCTCTAATGTCTGAAACCAGGCTGCTTATACTTTCTTTTCAGGTAACTATCAGAGAATCAAGGGTTTTGTCTGTTCTGAATAGGACAGGGTGGGTGGAGGGAGAGAAGGTATCAGACTTTCAGACAGGCTCTAACATCTTTCTGTGGGTGGTCAGATTTTTCCTTCTTCCATTCTCTGTGGGGGCAATAATGTGATGAGAACAGCAGCTGGGCTGGTGTGACCTCTGCCTTCTATACTATGTGCTGAAGTGTATTTACAGTTGGTCAAAGAGAGAAAGAAGGCAGAAGCCACCATACCGCTCCATGTCCTAAACCAAGGAGTGAAAGCTAATTTCCTATTTATCATAAATGAGGAAACTCCACTCTCATTCCCATAACCACCCCCAAGGGGCCAGCCTCTCTCACTTAAGACAATCCGATGTGCACCCATCACTTAGTATGTCTACATTTCATTAATATTGGCTTTTCTCCTTCTTTATCTGTCTCACCAGATACTACTCTTGACCTGGTGTTAACTATATCTTCACATTTCCCCCTCAAAACTACCTACACCTTTTGGCATTCATTTTAAACGTCTCCTTGGAGTTTTCTTAATAGCCCACTTTATATGAGAAATGATGAACATAATTACGCGTCTTTATGATGCTGAATAGTTTATAGGTCACTGCTATAGCAATCATTACATTCGATTTCCATGGGCACATCTCCATTGTGTTGATGAGAAAGTGGAACACAAATAATTGATGATAATGATGACCATAATAAGTGAGAAGTGAAGGAAAAGACCATATGCTCCATTTTGAGCCCTTTACTATGTGACTGGATAGGTGTGCTTTACATATTGTTGTTCAGTCGCTAAGTCATGTCTGACTCTTTGCGACCCCATGGACTGCAGCACAGCAGGCTTCCCTGTCCTCCACTGTTTCCCGGAGTTTGCCCAAGTTCATGTCAGTTGAGTCAGTGATGCTATCTTCGTATATTCCCACTTAAATATGATTCTCACCAAACCCCCATGAGGGAGCTATATTTTCCTTCATTTTACCGAAGAAGACTCGAGGCTCAGAGAGTTCTCTGGACCTGCACAAGGTCAGCAGCTCCTCAGTGGAAGAACTTCATCCAAAGCCACATCTGAGGGTGAGGTCTAAGGTCTCTCCATCTTTCTCTCGACCTTGATCGAATTAGAGTGGGAGGAGTTTCCCATTCGAAGATTCTGAATCTCAGTATAGTACTCCTGAGGTTTACTGGTTGTTTGGTTTCAGAACATTTTCTTTGAAGTTTTGCCAAGATCTGGGATTGATGATAAGGAGCAGCCTTCCTGAATGCACCTCTCAGTAGGAAATGTCTCACCTCAAGTTCAGAGCTGACAGTGAGAACTGATAATTCATGATCCTATGGTCTTAAGAAAAAAACAAGTGGTTCATGCCCATGCTTGATGGTATCTATTTTTTTTACATGAATTTACTATTGATGCATAAAAGAATAAATTCCATGGGTCAGGTTTTTATACTCAGGAGATGTAAGTTAAATTAACCAGCACTATTCAAGTCAGAAAAAGACACTAATTATCATCTCCCACTGCTCTCTAGGTTCAATAACAATTCCTGCAGCTTGGAATGCACCTCTGAGGACTGGGGAAAAATATCCACTAATTATTTTTTCTCATGGTCTTGGAGCATTCAGGTAAAGTGTCAAGAGGCTGAACAATTTTAGCCTCTAGGGATCAATCACTGAATGCATCCCCCCTCAAAAAAAAAAAAGGGGGGGGGGATAGCAGATTTTGGAGTGTCAGGCTGGTCCTTGTCCTGGGAGGACTTGGAGTTCCTTCAGAATTAGCTGTGATCTACTAATCAATCCTTAGCCCTGTCTTTTCCTGCCTCCAGCCCATGGAGACCAGCCTCACAACAAAGGAGAGGGGTGGTTGCAATTTGGGTGGTTGTCTTTCTATATAACAGTATTTACACTCTCAAAATCATTCACTGTATTAGTTCAGGTTCTCCAAGAAGTAGACACCATGATTAGATTAGCCGTGAAACGCATGTATTGGGAAATGCCCATGAAGGACAGGGGGGAAGGAGCAGAGAAGATGGGGAGAGATTTCAGCCTATGATGCAGACTGGACAGTTGAGAAGGAGATGGGAAACAGAAGGACTGGGTATGAAGGGTATGAATGTGGTACAGTTCTAAGAAAAACTGGGCCAGGCTGATGGAGGGAGTGCTTGACCAAGATTTGCTCATCAGAGTTCTGCATCTCATAGGAAAGGACCTACGGTAAACACATGCCACGTTCTGTCACTGGAACCAACCTACAGGAAGCCTTGTTTTACTTGACCCACTAGGGCAGGAGCTGGGTGGGCTCTTTAGTCAACTGTGGTCTCTGGATCATGACAGGTAGCATGTTTTCATGGCCACCACCCCATCTACTTTTTTTCAACATTTTCTCAACTCCCTTCCTGTCTTCTGACTCAGGTTTATAAGAATTTTAGAAAAGAAAAAGTGACTTTTAGCTGGTAAAAAAAAAAAAATCAGGTATCATCTGCAATGAGAAATTTTCACTTGTTTAATTGTAGCCCAACTAGTTATTTGATTCCTATGAGACCAATGATTGGCATCTTAGACTCCGAGGACCATATTCAGCCTGCTGCCTGCATCTGTGTATAAGGTTTTATTGAAACACCAGCCACTCTCATTTACTTCCCCCATTGTCTCTTCTAGTTTGGTGCTACAGCAGCAGAACTGAGTCTGAGACAAATAACGTAAGGCCCACAGAGCTGGAAGCAATTACTCTCTGGCTTTTTACAGAAAAGGTTTTGCTGATCCCCTGTACTAGATGATTTTCCCTTCATGAGTTGGTCTTGCATCATCAGTAGAAAACATGATACTCACCTACCTCCTTTTTGTTCTTTATGGCCATTTACTATGGAATACATAATAGGCAGGAGGAGTTCCCTTTTGATCCAGTGGTTAAGACTTTGCCTTCAAATCCTGGGGGTGCAAGTTCAATCCCTGGTCAGGGAGTTAGGATCCCACACACCTCGAAACCCAAACAAAACAAAGCAAAAAACAGAGGCAATATTATAATGAATTCAATAAAGACTTTAAAAATGGTTCACGTCAAGAAAAAAAAAAAGAATACATGATAGGAGAAGAAGATTGTGCAGAACCAAGATGTGGAAGGGATTATAAATGTAGTTGCTTATTAGCACATGACTTGTCAACCATCTCACCCTGTCTAGTCATTTACCTAACAGCTGACTTATGTTTGGTATTTCCACTGTTTCAGACATGGTTATAAGCACTGAACATGTGTTAACTTACTAAATCCTTATAATAATCCCACCAGGTCCCAGATGTTATACCATCACCCTTCTGCAGGTAAAGAACCAAGGCAGAGAGAAGTGATTTATCCCAGGTAGACAGCTAGTAAGTGAAGGAGCCAGGATCCAATAACCTGCAGTGGTCAGAGTGTAGATCCTGTTGTCTTAAGCATCACATTGTACCACCTGCCTGTTACGTGTTTTCGTATCAAAACCTAATAACTGGGACTTCCCTGTTGGTCCTGTGGTTAAGACTCTGCGCTTCCAATAGGGGCGTGAGTTCAATCCCTGGTCAGGGAACTAAGGTCCCCATGCCACTTGGTGTGGCCAAAAACTGAAAGAAAAAAAAAAAAAAAAACACCAAAAGACCTTATAATTATTCTAAAGCAAAGACTTTATTATCTGTCCCCACCGATGAGGACAGAAATGGAGTAATGTAAAAAAAAAAAAAAGAAATGGAGTAATGTAATTATTTAAAGTCATATAACTGGAAACAGGCAGAGCCAAGATTTAAACCCAGAACTCTCGAAGGCAATATTTATAACCACTGCACCAATGTTTCTCAGCCTTGGTACCCTGGATGCTTTGGACTGGATCATTTCCTGTTGTGGAGGTAGTCCTGTGCATCAGATAATGGTTTTAGCAGTATCTCTGTACCCACTGGATGGCAGTAATATACCCCCTACTCCTGATAATGAAAATGCCTCCAAACATTGTCAAATGTCCCCAGAGGACTAAAATCAGCCCCCGTGAGAACCACAGCCCTCTGCTTTACCCCAGGGCACTCCTACAGGGATATAATTACCTCCCAATTCCCAGCTTTCATTTGTGGATCCCTTGTAATTGTGACTGGTAGTTCACATGAGCTTCTCTCATTTTTGTTTTGAAGGACGATTTATTCTGCTATTGGCATAGATCTGGCGTCCCACGGGTTTATAGTTGCTGCTGTAGAACACAGGTACGTCACTTGGTATGTGGCTGAGCTCTGCCTTTCTTAAAGGTTTATACAAAGTACTGTTAGAGGGAATTCCTTGGTGGTGCAGTGGTTAGGACCCATTCTCACTGTCAAGGACCTGTGTTCAGTCCCTGGTTGCGGAACTAAAATCCTATACTCTGTGCCACTCAGCAGGTAAACAAAATATTGATAGAATTGTCAACTACGGTTACCCATGACTGAGAAAAAAAGGAGACTTTTTCCTAAAATCTATGAATTAGATTGTCATGTATATAAGAAAACAGCTAACATTTCTAGAGTTCGTGTTCATATACCATCATTGAGTTCATCCTTGTGTTCACTGAGTGTCCTATTCATATATCATCTCATTTAATCTTCATAACAATCCTTTAAGATGTTATTATCACTGTTTCATGGGAGGCAGAATATGAAGCTGAGGAAGGGTAATTTGCCCCAAACTACACAGCTAGTAAGTGGTGGTGCTGGGATCTGATTCGGGAGACAGTGTTCAATTCTAGGGTCTCCCAGAATTGTGCAGACAGAGTGCCTTCTTTATAGGCAACAATGTCTTTTTCTCAGGACTTCCTTGGGGGCCTCTTTGATTTAAAAAAAAAATGTAGAGTGGAAGAAGGGAAATCAGAAAGAGTCAAGGATGGGCGTGAGGAACACGAGTGATGTAAGGCATCGACTCTGTTTGCATTATAGAGATGGCTCCGCATGCTCGACGTACTATTTCAAGGACCAGCCTGCTGCAGAAATAGGCAGCAAGTCTTGGCTCTATCTCAGAACCGTAAAGCGAGGGGAGGAGGAGTTTCCTTTACGAAATGAGCAGGTACGTTGCAGGAAGAGGAGAGGTGGCGTGTTGACCAAAAAGCATAGGCAAAATGATGACATTTGTTCATTTCTTTATTTTACATAGGGCAGACTGTGTCCCTGGGTCTCCTTACTTCCCATTCCCAAAAGATATGTCAGAAGATTCTCTGAGTAATCAAATTCTCTTAATGAAATATCTGGATCACAGGAAGAGCAAAGACCAACATGAAAATCCTAGGAGATGACTGAATATTCAGAATTCTTTTGTGTTAGAACTAAAGTCTACTTTTCACTGGGGTGATAGAGAATATCATTAAGAGTTCAGGCCTTAGAATGCAACTTTCTTTGTTTGAATCCTGATGCCATCACTCTGCAGTGTAGTGGGGTTATCTTGGACAAGTTACTTCTTCTTTTTGTTTTGTTTCCATGTTTTATCTGTTGTGAAATAATGAACATCTTATATGAGGCTTTGAAATAAAGTGAAATAAATAAATAAATAATAGGTGAAATAAATAAATAAAAATGAAATAAAGCATGTTATTTTCTACCTCTGTGCCAAGCTTTATGGCTTCCCAAGTGGCTCGATGGTAAAGAATTCACCTGCAATACAGGAGACCCGGGTTTGATCCCTGGGTTGGGAAGATCCCTTGGAGAAGGAAGTGACAGCTCACTCCAGTGTTCTTGCCTGGGAAATCCCATGGACGGAGGAGCCTGGCGGGCTACAGTCCAGGGAGTCACAAAAGAGTTGGACATGACTGAGCAACTGAACAACAAGCCAAGCTTTATAGTGGGTGCTTTTTACATGTATTATTACATTTAATCCCACCTGCATTTCACTGAGGTGGACATTATTATACAATAAAGGAAAGCTCAGAGAGGTTAAGCAAATCCTCCGAGGTCACACAGTGGGTAAGCAACAGAGCCAGGATTTGGACTAAGCGGTAACTACCTGCAAAGCTGGTGCCTAGGTCATTATGCTAGGTTGTGTTCTAAGAGAACCAATTTTTTTTTCCCATTTTTTCCATTTTCTCACCCTCTACACAAACTTTAAGTGTTACAACTTTTTACTTTGTCATGTCCCTCTTCTAATCATCCTATTAGGTTCAGCAACGAGCGAAGGAGTGTTCTCAAGCTCTCAGTTTGATTCTGGACATTGATCATGGGAGGCCAGTGACGACTGTATTAGATTTAGAGTTTGATGTGGAACAGCTGAAGGTGAGCTTAAAAAAAAATTCATTTTCCTTTGGCCTGGACTTCTTTATTGCTCTTATTATTGTCTGTTTTACTGCTGTAATACAAGGTACAACATGATAAAGGGCTGCAAAAAAAAAAAAAGTCCTGGGACAGTATTCCAACAGTGAGAAATGCATTAGGTTGAACTACATATATAATTGCCACCAGCCACTTTTGATCTACAAAAAAAAAATGATAATTTCATATGTTTAATATAATATAACCAGTGGAAGTATTGTAATTTCTTGGGCAGCTCCTGCATGTTTTTGAGCAAGGGAACAAACTAAGATGATGGTCTGTCCTCTAGACTGTGAGTCGTTTGTATAACTCAACTAGCCACTCTCCTATCTCCATGGCTTTGGACGTGTGGTTCTGTTAGTCTGACTCCCCGTCCTCCTGACTCAGACCTGCTTAATCATCAACCTAAGTCAGGCATCTCCTTATCCATGAAGCTTTCCTGGGCCCCACTGCCCATCTGGACTGGGATAGCCATCTATCACACATGCTCCTTAGCACCACCTTACCTCATCTGCATTGTGTATCTGTAACTCCTTCCCCAGTAGACTAGGAACTCATGGGACATGAACTGCAGTGCCTGGCACAGAGCAGGTGTTCAATAAATACTCAAGAGAATGGACAGACTAATGAATGTGGAGTGCGGGACGGGGAGCGATTAGCAATGACATTGATGTTGCAAGTGTGGGTATGAAGAAAGCCAAGAACTTCACTTCTTTGTTTATTTGAGGTTTTTGCTTGTTTTTGTTTTGGTCCTGAAACCAAAGAAGTTTCTCTCTATATATAGATAAAACATATATATATATATGTTTTATAAGTATATATATGTTTTATAAATATTATAAGTGTATATATATATATAAAACATTTGTTTTTGTATAGAAGTGTTTGTGTATATATATATAGGCATGTATGTATACATACATATGTGTGTGTATATATATGTGTGTATGCGTGTATATATGGGTGTGTGGGTGCATGTGAGTGTCTATATATTTCTTTTCTAAGAATCAAGGTACTTAACCATCCCTGTGAAATAATAATCTTGTGATTCACAAAATCTCTGCCTGTCCTCTGAACAGCCTTTGAGATACTTATGCATTTATATCATGCTTCTTTCACATAGGACTCTATTGATAGGGATAAAATAGCAGTTATTGGACATTCTTTTGGTGGAGCCACAGTTATTCAGACTCTTAGTGAAGACCAGAGATTCAGGTAAGAGAATAAGGCTGAGAGAGAGAATGCTAAGTGATTGGAAGAGGGGGAAGTGATAACACATGTGCTATAGAACATAGCCAGTTCTTAGGGAGGAAGAGATTTTTGGAGTTCACAAGTCCATTCTTTTGCCTCCATAAAATCCTTCATATGAGTTTTCCTAAATAGAAACATCTACTTTTGCTATTGAAAATTCTTCCCACCTCTATTTTTCCTCATTTATATTTATCTGTTCAAGGGCTTATCATTTTCATTTGGAAATTTATCTTTACATATACATATTATCTGTGACATAATGATTGTAATAATAATGTTGTCATCTTATACTATTTTCTAGATTCCGCAATAGGCAGGGCATTTAAAAAAATTGTTTTACATTTAATTTATTTACAGCAACTCACATTTGCACTATCTCAGCTCCAGGTTTTCACACATGAAATTTTTACCGAGAACATACCACCTACTTCCAAACTTTGATTCCTTGGATCTCAGCTTTGACATCCTTTTCTCCCAGAAGTTGACTCCAATTCTATGTTAGATGAGCAGGGCATTTTTAAATTATTTTTTTTTCCATCCTTAAGATTGAGCATGGGCTAAAATTACATAACTACTGGGGTGGAAGTCAGGATCTCAGTCTTCTAACTTGAAGGAACATTTTCTTTCTTGAACCACTTCATCCAAAACTGATGAGATCACGCAGAATTGACCATGTAGAAAGTAGGTAGGATCATTCATGAAATTTTAGCTAACATTTCTTCTTACGCTATTTCAACATAAGAAGATTCTCTTCTTTCATCCATTTAGCACATAAAATAGAGTCTCTAAAAGGCCAAGAAACATTAGATAACTTAAAAAAAATGAATTACATTTTCAATTATATACTACATATGCTTTTCTTCAACTCTCCCAGGGAAGTATCTTTACACTAAAGGAATGGGTCTAACTGTTACTCAGAAAGGTATAATGATAATGAGTACATGCCAGGGTCCAGAAGGACTAGAAAGACAGGCTCAATAGTGCACAGACTGTATCTTTTCAGATACCCCATAATTCTATTGAATTACTTATTTTAACATTTATCTTGAAGGATGACAAAAAATTTTAAATGTTTCTAAAGGTTGTAATTCTCAAATGCCTCCTAAAGAAAATGGTGATATAATTACAAGTTTGCTGCCTTGCAAAGCTAATGATATCCCCTTCCCACATTGAAGGGTAATACCTCTTCTGCCCAGTGAGATCACCCATAATAATGAACTGGTGAGGTGTTTGTCTCTGAATCTCTGTGATATTAGAAATCCCTATATTTGGGCAGTATGTAACCAGCCTTCTTCCATCAGGTGTGGTATCGCTCTGGATGCATGGATGCTTCCCATAGGTGATGAAGTATTTTCCAGAATTCCTCAACCCCTCTTTTTTATCAACTCGGAACGATTCCAATATCCTTCTAATATCATAAGAATGAAAAAATGCTTCTTACCTGATAGAGAACGAAAAATGATTACAGTCAAGTAAGTATCAGTAAGTGACATTACATCATCTGAAATGGAAACCTGAAACTTGGATAAACAATCAGTGAATATCATTGAGTAGCTAGTCTAGAATTGTTCAGTTTGTCGTTTAGACTTGGAATAAGGGAGACTATTAGGTAATCTCAGTTTCCAAGTGCATTTAGACTTCTCTTTTTAAAATGCGCTTTTTTGAGTAGTGTTTGTATATATAGCACATACGATAATTAAAATTTGCATCAGGATGCATGCTACTTCTATCTGAATATAAGCCTAAACATTTTTAGGACTGGGGTAAGGAGAAGTATTCCATCATTAGGCTAGGCTTAGAACTTTTTTTTTCCCCCTAAAGTAAAATGATCTGCTGAAATCTGCAGTGTGTTTACTCGTTTGGTAAGTATATGAATTTATTAATTCCCAAAGCTATAATGGGATCCCTTTGAGGGCTGACAATATACTTACATCATGGATAAAAAAGAATTCCCATAGGGTTTTGAACTTGTAGTGAGATGTTACAAAAACTGAGTTTCTTCTGCTTCTGTCTGAAACCTGATTTACTTAGAAGGGCAGAGAAGAGGCAGCGGGAAGTAAACATGCCATAAAGGCAATGAACACTCTGGAGTCAGAGAATGGAGGGCTCTTTTCTAAATGACAGTGAAAGTGTTAGTTGCTCAATCATGTCTGACTCTTTGAGACCCTAAGGACTGTAGATCACCAGGCTCCCTTGTCCACGGAATTCTCCAGGCTAGAATACTAGAATGGGTAGCCATTCCCTTCTCCAGAGGATCTTCTCAACCCAGGAACCAAACTTGGATCTCCCCTTTGCGGGCAGATTCTTTACAGTCTTTGAGCCACCAAGTAAGGTGCTCATAAAAGGCTGCTTAGAAGAAATGGTGGTACAATTGGGTCTTAAAGAATCAAAAGACTTTAGATAGATGGTGAGAAAGGACCTAGATATTTAAGGTAAGGATGTCAATTTAGCTTATTGGTATATGCAAGTCTATTTAATTCTAAGTCTAATTTAGACTTTAAAGTCTAATAAGACTTTAAGTCTCTACTTAAAGTCTAAGTAGAGAATACTCAACCTTCCTTACTAGGCTATCACTCTCTGTTTTTTCCCTTCTCTGCTACCCTGTCCTGACTTCCATTTACTCTGACTTCTGCAGTCTGTCTTCCTGACCTTGGCAGTGAGCTGAAGCTGGCCCCACTAAGGATACAGATGGCCCAGTTGCTATTGGCAGCCTCAGCCCTTCTCTCTGCATCCCTCCCACCTGTGGACTAACCCCATTTCTCCTCCCTTGGGTACCCCAACCCCATTCTCCCGCGCTTCTCACATCCTGTAGACGGCTCCCTTCTTTTCTCCTCTACGCTCTCTTTCTCTTCAGGCCATCTCTCCACTGTGGGTGGCATTCAGGGTTCTGCCTTCAGGTATATCTCGTGGCCCTGACTCTGTTTACCTTCTCTCGACTTTTGACTCGAAGTCTGGATTGGAATGTGGGAAACAGTGAGCAGAGTTCTGGGCTCTATTTTGGGTAGAGATAACTAAAATAATAGGGGTTTGCTTAAAAGTAGCAAAGTAAAGAGGAAGAATGACATTGGGTAGGGCTGGAAAGGTGTTTTTTGTTCTGTTCTGTTTTTTATATTTTCTTGGCTGCACCACATAACACGTGAGATCTTAGTTCCTGGATCAAACTCACGCCCCTTGCATTGGAAGCAAGGTGTCTTAACCACTGGACCACCAGGGGAGTCCCTGGAACGGGTGTGCTTTAACCTTTAGATATATGTGTCTGGCCACAAATTGGAAAAGTATAGAATTTATATGCAATGTATTATCAATGAAATCTATGGAGGAGCTGAGACTGCAAGTGAGAAAAGAATTGATCTGAAAATAGCATCTTGAGGATTTGGGGGACGAGCCAGTCAAGAACAGAGTTGTTCAGGCAAAGGAGGAAAGATGTGATGTCAAGGAAGTAAAGCATGGGGAATAATGCAAGAAAATCAAATGTCAAATGCCCAGAGATAGTAAAAACTGTGCATTAAAAGTGGCTGTTCTATTTGATGTTTGAAAGTGAAAGTCGCTCAGTTCTGTCTGACTCTTTGCAACCCCATGGACTATACAGTCCATGGAATTCTGCAGGCTGGAATACTGGAGAGGATATCCTTTCTTTCTCCAGGGGATCTTCCCAACCCAGGGATTGAATCCCGGTCTCCCACATTGCGGGCAGATTCTTTACCAGCTGAGCCACAAGTTCATCAATTAGCAACATTTATGAGGTGCTTTGCAGTTTAAATAATACAAGGCAAAATTTTGCTTGTCTTTTAATCTACTTAATCCAAGGCTGAAATACAAAGTGTTTTGTTTAACAGCAAATTGAGATCCAGTTAAGTGTGGTGGTAAGGGAGCAGGATTCTGGCTCTGGGTTTAAAGACCCTCAACATAAAAAACATTCCATCTACTCAAATCAGAAGTGACCTACAAAGCAAGAATCATCTCTTCTAAAACCAAGATGCCAAGCAAGACAGGAATCTTTGCCTTGTTTGTCGGGAGGGAAGGATGCCTACATACCTGTATGCATACTAAGTTGTTAAGTCATGTCCGACTCTTTGCAACCTCATGGACTGTAGCCCACCAGGCTCCNTTCTCCAGCATATCTTTCTGACCCAGGGATCAAACCTGTGTCTCCTGAATTGGCAGGCAAATTCTTTACCACTGAGCCACCTGGGAAGCCCTATCTTAACTTAGGGCAAGTCCTATTTTAAGGGTTCCCAGTTGGTTTACAATGTAACAGTGCAATCAGTTTGAAAACAATTTAAATTTGCTGTTTTGTGTACTGTCATAGGCAGCAAGGCTTCCTGTCAGAGCTAACAGTATTTCAGTGAAGCCAGGGCGGGGGAATTTCCATGCTCAGACAGCACGGGGCCTTAATCCTCTCATTCAGATGTTGCAGCTATCCCGTGCTCTTAGAGGGTTTGTGATTCCTTAATCCTGACGTGGTGTATGTGGTTTGTGAGGCTAGGATGCCCCCTAGAGGCACTGACCTGTTTAATGCTCTCAAAAGTTGACTATGTTTATGACGTTTCTATCTTACAGGACTTCAGAAAGATTTTGATCAGTGGGATTCTTTAGTTGAAGGCGAAGATGACAATCTTATTCCAGGGACCAACATTGACACAACCAACCACGAAGCCACTCTGCAGAACTCCACAGAAATAGAGAGACCAAATTTAGACTAAAAGAGCTTTTTAAAAAGTTTTGTTTACAAACTTGTCTAAAAGTGTGTATGTGTGTGTGATTTTAATGTATTTTCTCAAATAGCTCATATTAAAAAATGTAGGCTACACCACAGTAGTGACTGAAGCTTGTATTAAGTTTTTTTCCCCTATAAATTTAGAAAAAGACGGCTACATATGAAAATCATAGCAGCCTAAATTTTAGTTTTACTAAAGTGATCCTTTTTCACAGTAAAAAAACTGATTTTACATTGGTTCAACAGCCACACATAATAAAATAGGCACAATGCCACTGAAAATGTGTCACAGTGACCTAACACTCCTAAAAATATAATAAAAACAGATTTTCTTGCCTCTTTTTTTCTGTTATAGGCTATAGAATTGACTTTTAGCATCATGGTCTGCTATGTAGTATTTGGCAGCGCTTCCATTTGACCTTGGGTCACAGTAAAAAAGTAGACCAAGTGGATAATAAAGCCATTGCTTTACCGTGGAATTAGTGCTAGGGCACAATTTCAATATGATGACCACACAGGAATGGATGCTGGTGACAAAACAAAGGCAGCAGATTAAAGCAAGTTGGTAATTTGTTTGCATTTACTTTGTTTACCTCAGAGACACTCTGTTTACTAAAGAAAGGTGCATATGAGTGGCCCTCGATTTAAGCCATCACACATAAAATTACTGATTCACCCAAAGGCTGCGAAGGATAAAAAGGGAGAGAATATAGGTGTGTGTATGGCTGATACATTTTGCTGTCCAGTAGAAATTAACACAGCACTATACTCCAATAAAAATTAATTAAAAACATGAAAACAGGGAAAGTGGAAAAAGAAAGATTGAGTCAACTTTAAAGAAATTCCAGTTTTGCTAACTTAAAAAGGCCAAAATTTTTACTGCTTCATTTTCCATGAGTTTTCTTTAATGAATCTTTTAAATTTTATATGGAGGAGTGAAAGGAGAAAAATATAATAAATGGAGGTAAAAAGATCACTGAAAGATGTGTACACTTACGCCTCTGGGAGTCATGAAAAATGTGTTTTGTTTCCCAAGCAGTACAAACACTTCTGCCACTCATCAGTCAAACATATTTGGGTCTAAGAATGGTCTTGTTCCTATGAATGCTTCATAATTAACTTTCATGAAAGTCAGTGAGAACAAGGATAATCAGTACTTAGTAAGCAAGCCTGGTTAACTACTCTATGCCTATTCCTTTTGCCTTGTTAACAAGTAACTGCGTTTTCTGATTTGGCACTCAGGCCTACCTTAATGTTTTAATGTGCAAAATCACTCATTTTGAGAAATATGATTTCTCCTATAACTGTTCAGAGTAAATATTTTTAAATGAAGAGTTAAATTCTTTATCATGAAACTGATGGCTTTCTATAATCTGGCCTTCATACATCTTCTCTGACCTTTGCTCCCAGGAATTAATTCACAACTACAACTCCTATTTTTGAGAAATATGATTTCTCCTATAACTGTTCAGAGTAAATATTTTAAAATGAAGAGTTAAATTCTTTATCATGAAACTGATGGCTTTCTATAATCTGGCCTTCATACATCTTCTCTGACCTTTGCTCCCAGGAATTAATTCACAACTACAACTCCTATATGAATGAGCCAAATTTGTCTATTCATTATCCTAGGAACAAGCAATATACTCATCCACTTCAATTATGCTTAATGTAAAACCCTCTCCTTTTTTACTTAGTGAAATTCCCCAACTTTTAAGGTTTTTAATTCTCTCCTCATCAGGCTTCAGAGTTCTCATAACGTTTCATACACATCTTTTTAGAAATGGACGACCATTTCAATAGAACTGATGTTCCATTCAATAGCACCTCTTTAAAATCCTGTTTGTGGCATACGCTGATGTGAAACAATCCAATAAAGTTTAAAAAATATAACCTACCATAGTGCATACTGAGCCTCTTTCAGGGAAAAGAAGGAAATATTTATCAAATGCCTACTCCTTTTCCGGCACATTATTTAAGTTATTTCTAATCTTAAAAACACTGCAAGAAAAGTTTTATTATCCCCATTTTACAGCTGAGGAAGATCAAATCTGAACAATAATATAGTAACCTGCCCAGGTCACATATCTAGTAGGCCGTGTACAGGTAAGATCTATTTCCTAACGTTAGAATCTGTTTGCATGCTGCCACCTATGGAAAGCCTTGTTTTAAAAGCATGGGCTTTGAAATTAGATGGGTCTAGGTTTGCTCAAGCCTCTGAGATTTGCTAGCTCTTTGACAGGCAAATTAGTTATCTTCTCTGAAAAGCTTCAACTTTCTCACCTATAAAATATGGGTAATGTTAATATGCACCTGAGAATCAAGGATTACATGCAAAACGTGCATTGAAAGTACAGCTGAGGGACGAACACATGAAAGCTAACATTTACTATTACTCTGTGTCCCCCAACTGTAGAATCGTGGTTTGTTCCATGACCACAGACTTCCTTTTTTTTTTCCTTCTTTCAGCAGCAGTGTGGCATGCAGGATCTTAGGTTCTCAGGAATTGAACCCATGCCCCCTGCAGTGGAAACTCAGAGTCTTAACCACTGAACTGCCCAGGAAGTCCCAGATATTTTCTTTTTAATGAAATGAAATTATACTTTTAAGGACAAACTTTATTCAAATCTTGTGTCATATCAGTATACTTCTAAATTCAAACAGAGTATCAGTCAAAACTAGAACAGCAAAGTTTCAGAAACAAAACAAAAATTTTGAAGGCGTTACTGCTAACAAAGCCATCCCCCCAAGTAGCATCATATACTATGCTTTTCAGAAACCTGTAATTTTCTATTTTAAACTGTTATTCAGAAGAAACCAAAATACTCCTTTTTTTTTTTTTTGCAATGTGAGTAATGTGTTCGCAAACTGTTTAGCCAAATAAATCCTCCCAACTGATTAGAAAGATGACACATTTAAAGGGAGAGGAAACATCTCAAATCCAAATATACAGAAACAGCACTATAAATACACCACACAGGCAGTCTGAGATTTGTTTTCAACACAAAATTTTCAAAAATGACAATTTCTTGTCTTTACACGTTCTCAATTTTCTCAAATATTTTTGTTGGTCTGGTTGAGATGGCACTTATTTCAGAGCAGCTTTGAACTGACTGACCACACTTAAGAGATCCACAGTTAAATCTCTGTCATCTCCAGGCCTCTTTTCTGAAACAAAAAGAGAAAAACCTCAGATTGAGAAAGAAATGTAAAAATAAGAAAAAAAAATTTGGGGGGGGGGCGGTGTAGGGGGGAATGTGTTGTGGTTTACAGAATCTTAGTTCCCTGATCAAAGATTGAACCCATGTCCCCTGCAGTGGAAGGATGGAGTCCTAAACTCTGAACCAATAGGGAGTGCCCGAGAAGATTATTTACGTGGGTGCTACCATGACAAAATCCATGTCCTTTAAAAATGGGGAGAGGGAATAGATGTGTATTCTAATTACTACAGGGAATTATTCCTACAGATATGATTTTTAAAAAAATATTTTAGTCCTCACACTGTATCTATTATCATATAAAGTTTCTCTAAAAGATTATGAAATTGGCATATTTTATATTTTACCAGGATGATGTTGGCAAATAGTTCTTTGTTCTCTTTCATTAGTGCATACTTTCACATAACACTAAAGTCATCAAGAGCTGATTTCATTCTTCACATGCCTCAATCTTGAGAGTCACTTGGACTACAAGGAGATTCAACCAGTCCATCCTAAAGGAGATCAGTCCTGGGTGTTCACTGGAAGGACTGATGTTGAAGCTGAAGCTCCAATACTTTGGCCACCTGATGCAAAGAGCTGACTCATCTGAAAACACCCTGATGCTGGGAAAGACTGAGGGCAGGAGGAGAAGGGGATGACAGAGGATGAGATGGTTGGATGGCATCACCGACTCGATGGACATGGGCTTGGGTGAACTCCGGGAGTTGGTGATGGACAGGGAGGTCTAGCGTGCTGTAGTTCATGGGGTCGCAAAGAGTTGGACATGACTGAGCGACTGAACTGAACTGAACTGATGCCTCAATTCTAAGAACCAGTGTTCCGCTTATGAAAAAGATCATGCAATAACCAGGAACATTCAACAAACTGAATCACCATATAAACTAAAAAATCTCAAAAGAAATTCCAAGAGATAATTTAACAAAGATCACTGGAACGTCTGTATCTGATTAAGCAGACGCAAACCCTGACTTAACCAGATACTGGAACTATCCAATACAGATTCTGAAGCAAGAAGTTCAAACTCCAAACAGGATAAACTCAACTGTCTAGACATAGCCTGGGAAATCACGTTTCATGTAATCTTAACTGAAAAACACAATTTATGTGTGTATGTACGATGAAATCAACCATGTTCAAAATATATTGCTGATGTGTTTATATCCCATATAAACAAAAATTATTAAAATCAAACTGATTAATCTGTCTTTGGATGGATGTATTACAGGTGATTGCTACTTTCTCCTTTTTAACTTTACCATTTTCCCAGATTTTCTGCATCAAAAGTATTTTATCAAGGTCACTAACAACAAACAATTTTCTTTTTTTTAATCCCAAAATGAAAATCAAGGAGGAAAACATTAATAAGTAGTTTGCCCAAAGAAATACAGGGCATAAAATCCAGAAACATTGATTGTATTGTTGCTGTTTTCCATTGCTATTATTACAAGTGTTTCTTCTTCCATTATTCCTAAACACAAATGCTTAGAAAACAGTTCAAGTTGAAACAGAGCAGGACTCTATGGTCCATGACCCACTGTGTCCTCAGCCTGCCTTTTGTCTGAAAACCAATTTAATCAGAAAAGTGAGAAAATGCAGAAACAAAGGAAAACAGTTAAAGGAGACCAAATAATAACAATGCAGTTATTAAGCATAGTCAAGGACCCTCTCAAGGCTCCTTCTCGAGGGCTGTAGATAATATGCTGAGCCATATCCTGTGAGCTGTCTTGCAGATATTGAAATACCAGATACAGAAATTAACTACATGATGATCAGACTGTAGCCATGACATAACCTGACGTAATTCCAAGAACAGGCCTCAAAGAAATGGAAACAAACTGGCCCTGGAACTGAAGATCAACTGTACCTAAAATAACCAAGATGACTCTGGTCAGACCACTGATGACTAGGTTCAGGATGACTGCCAGAGATGACTATGTTGTTTCTACATGTAGTGCCCTCCTTCTGTCTATCAAAGCTCTTGCCCACTGACTATCAGCGGGGGGAGTTGGCCTTTGGACAGACGTCTGCTCTCTGCTCACCCCATCCCAGATGTCAGCATCTGAAATAAAGCAAACTTTCCTTTCCACCAACCTGGCCTCTTTAATGGCTCTAAGTGGTGAGCCGCGGGACCTGCACCTTTCAGTAACAAAGTCACCTTTCAAAATGAAGAACAGTCTCATTAATTACTGTTTAAATATACTTATACCTCAGATGGACTCTTATCCAATTTGGGTATACCATTCCAGACATTCTCAGGGTTCACTACCTCCTCTATGCCATTTGAAAGGTTCAAAACCTACAAGAGAAAAAAATTAATAAAAACTGGTAATTCCAAACAGTGTCACTGATTTATGTTAGTTACACAGTATCCTTTTGCAAATGAAATACTTTAAAATGCAGTTACAATGATTTTTTAAACTTCAACATTACATTTCAACTCAATGGTACATCATTCCAAAAAATCATATATTGAGTATCTATGCCTAGACATCAAAGATGGATGTTCTCAAATTCTCTTGGTGTAAGACTGTACATTTCTAATCCTTCCCCCTAGAAATTCTCCATTAGTTAGCCAGCGGGGGCAAAGTCCAGGAATCAATACTTAGGAAATGTGCCAAAGGATTCTGACACAGGTGGTTTTTCAAACCACAAGAAAAACACCATCTACTGAAGGTTTCCAAGAGATTTTACACAAGGGAATGATAGAGTCAGATTCTCATTTGACAAACAGCACATTGGCAATGTGGAGAAACAACTGATGGAAGACTAGAGGTAAATCAATAGGAGGTTATTAGAGGAATCTAGCTGGGGTTGGTTCCCTGGTAGCTCAGACGGTAAAGAATCTGCCTGCAATGCAGGAGACCCGGTTTGATCCGTGGGTTGGGAAGATCCCCTGGAGAAGGGAATGGCTATCCACTCTAGTTTCTTGTCTGGAGAATTCCATGGACAGAAGAGCCTGGCGGGCTACATGGGATTGCAAAGAATCGGACACGACTGAGCAACTAACACAGTTGTGAAATGAGAAACTTAACCAAAATAGTGGCATTAGGTATAAAAAGTTTTAACTAAGAGATAAGAAGTGGGACTCAGTGACTGATAGGATTCCAGGGCTAAGGTAGACAAAAGAGCCCTGAATGCTTAAATATAAACTTTTAAAATGGGTTTTGCACTTCATCAGTCATCAGGGGGAATGAGCAGGTAACTAATCTGTTCAATGGGATTTTCGAATCTGGTAAAGTTTGGTAAAATTTCCTTAACAATCTACAAGTACATTTTGAGACGAAGTACTTCACTGCAATTTTAAATACCTTTGTGCCCTCTTCAGCTATTTCCAGAATCTCACATTTAGACCACGTGTTTCTGAGACTTGACCACACGAAACATTTGGATCCAACAGTAAATCCTTTCAGAGTGTACATGTTCTCTGGTTGAGCTGCCAGATTGAATACAGCAACAGTCAATGCATATCTCTTAATTTCTTAATGTTAGACATACAAGCAAAGCATTTCCCTACAATGCATTTACTACTCTCATATCAATGATATCACGGCACAGCACAACGTGTTCTAAGTCTGTCTCTCTAAATAATATGATCTCTGTTTAGTTCTTAAAACTGTATGTGGACACACAGAAAGGGTGAGAGACAGATGAAGGAAGTATATGCACCGTCACAGCATTCACAGTGGCCATTTCTTGGTGGTGGAATTATGATGATTTTCATTCTCCTTAGTCTACTGTTTTCTCTATTTTGTACAGTGTAATAATATTGTAATTATGCAACAATCTAATAAATAAAATTGACACTTAAAAGTCTAACATTGATTTTTTGTAAAAACCTAAAAGATAAGCCATTTTGTATAACTTTCGAATCTTATTAAGTAGGCAAGAAAAGAGCAGCAAAAATAATTTATAAAAAACTTCTAAAAAAGTTAATGGTAATAAGTGTTCTCCAATATTTACTCATGGCTGTTAACTTTCTTGATTAACACAGGCTCCCTAAGTCTATTCTTTTAAGGGTTTAAAAATGAAAGGCAAAGTATATGCACGAAGAAAAACAGTTCAGTTTTAAAACTCTGCTAAAATGATTCCCAATGTAAATTTATGCCTACATTAGGCTTGGCAAAGGAACACTACATATTTTTAAAAATTGACCAAAAAATATAACCTCTTGATCTAGAGATGATTTGTTTACATTTGAAATGGGACTACGTTTTAGAGACATGGATTTTTAAGCATTCTATTTTTAAAAGCAAAAATAATTCAGCATTTTGCACAGCATATAAAGTATTATTTCACAGTAATTTCAGCCCTTAATTTCTTCATGTTTAAATACCCTTCATAAAAATCCAAATCTAATTCTCTTTTCAGGTGTTCAACTTCCCTCAAATTATTTTTTTAATTCAATAAGAATTATTCTCTTCTCTTTAAGATAATTGCTTTTCCCTATGTTAAATAAAAGTGAACAGGGGGTCAAAAACTGCACATACCTGGGATATGATCTGGTAAGGTGTAATTGTGTTTCCTTGCATCTCTGCATTCTTCTTCAGAAAACAGAGAGGTCAGTGACGACACGGCATCTCTGTTTGTATCTTTGGTAAATTCTTCTTTATAGATACTCATTTCAATCTGCATCTTGGCATCGCAAGTCTGTTTGTGCAGGTGCAGCCTACGCGCCTCATCAAAGCTTTCCGCACAACTGGATCCTCTCGTGTCCTCAGTGCACAGGGATTCTTGGGCTTTCTGACGAACTCTTAAAGACAAAGGGTTTATTCTGTCCTCCAGACACAGCTGGGCTGTAGGCAGTTCTAGCTCAGGCTGTTTCTCATCTGCACCGTTGAGGGACAGCTGTCCCGGCAATGGTGGCAGGGTGACCTCTGGGTCACAGCCTTGGGGAAGCGTAATGGTTGGAGGCACCAGGCCCAGATCTTCTTTCTCCTCATCCCCGACGAGGGAATGCTGCAACTCGATGGATTCCAGCTCCAGGGACTCTTTGGACTCATCGTCAGGAGAAAGCGGTACCTCGAAAGAATTCAGTTCCAGGACCTCCTTTGCTTCGGTGGCATGTGGTAAGAATGTGTTAAATCCTGGCATTGGGTACTTATCATCAAACTTTGCTTTGTCACCCAGTAGGCCTTTGACTTTTTCTTCCAGCAACTTGGTGCCAATCTTATCTTTGCCTGGGTTTTCAAAAGCTTCAAAAATGTTATCAGTTTTGGGGTCATAGAATTTACCTGGTTGCATTTCAAGGATGTTTAAGTCTTTGTTGAGTCTTTCCAAGAGCTCAGCTGTCTGGGATTCAACATGAAGTATTCTCTGTTGTCCAGCATTACTGCTTGATTTCTTAAATCTAACATCGGGACTGGGGAAACCGAGAGCTCCCTTTATTTCTGCATCATTTTTTTCATACCTCAGATCACTGCTACTCATACCAATCTTAGAATATTTCTTCATTTTCTCACTAATGCTTTCACCTTTGCTTTTCAAGTCAACAATGGCTAAAGGGATATCACAAACGTCCCTTTTGATGTCTAATATTGTTATCTCCAACACATCTTCTGTAACTATTTCGTAAAAGTAGTCACATCCCTCACGAGGGCATGCGCCCTGTGAAATATTAAATCCTGAGAGGCAACATGGAAAGGCTTGCATGGGCATTGCCAAAAGCTCAGGAGGGATGTTCCAGAGTGTTTTTGGGTCCACGGAGTCTTCAATGTTTCCAAAGTCCACAAGTCTGATGGACACAAGATAATCTTCACAAATACTGGTGACAAGGGCCCTATAATAACGCCCGTCTTCTCTGTATCTCACTATGCAAGGATCTCCAATACGAGGGCAGTGGATATGACTTCTCTGATCTCTCACCTGCTCTCCCGCAGTCTGGACTTCCACTTCTAAATGCTGAAGTTTCTCGGTATCCGCAAACTGACACCAAAAATATTCAGGTCCGTCGATCACCGTGGCATAAGCTCTTATCATCTTCATCTTTGGGTTATACCAGTTAAGAAACATAGAAGTGTCTACACCTGTTTTGCTGACTGACGTGGAACAGGCCCCTTGAACTATTTGGGTAGAAAATCCTAGTTGAGATTTTTCACTGAATGCATATCTGCTTGCTATATCTTCGGCTATGATCCCGTGTTCATCAGCAAGAGTAACTTCCCATTTGTCTTGAAACTGAATAAATTCGCATCTTATTTGAGCCTCATCTGTCCTTTGGGAAAAGTAACGCATCACTTCCTTATGGTTTAAAATCCCAGGAACTGCAAATCCCTTTAAGGAACAGGGAATGCACAGTCCTGGTAACAGCGCATTAACACAGTCAAGTTTGCCTATTTTGTTGGTGTGAACTACAGAAACATTGCCATAATCTAGAAACTGCACAGAGAGAAGGTCATTGGGTTGTGGTTCCTTGACCACAGCACGATACCATAAATTGTCTTCTGGGAAAACAGCACATATTACATCTCCTCTTTGCAAAGGTGGACCTGCATAATATTCAGGCCTTGTTCTACTATCATTTAACCTCTCTGAAAGACGATCAATTTCAGCCTCATCTTCCGTTAGTTGAACGTAAAAATCTGAAAGGTCATTTATATGAGAAACATACACAGTTGTTTTAAATCCAGGCATTACAGCCTTCTGAGGGAACTCAGAAATTTTTAGAGGCAAACCTTTGTCACATGAATCTCTTAGTTTTCTCTCTGAAAGAGAGGCTTCTAGTTTTGTGGCTTTCAAAGAGGCTTCGGCCAAACTTTCTAATTTCTTGTCTGTTGTTAATGGAGACACTTGATTATTTTTATTTCCCACAGAGTCCTGGTGCTGAGTGACCAAGTTTGTCTTTGTTGAACTCTGTAAAAATTTGAGTTCCCTACACACTGAGCTGATCTTAGGTTTGTACAATTCTCCTAAGAGTGCCATACTATCGGGTTTGTTCTCTGATTTACTTAAATACCCTGCAGGTGACAACTTCACATCTTCCTTTTTCACTTCAAGAGTTTCAGCTGTAGAGAGGAGTGCTTTGCTTTTTCTCCTTGTCCCACCTTTGTAACCCAGAAGCCCTAACTTCTCATTAATATTAGCATTAATTTGCATGCTATCATTGTATAGTTCAATAATCAGTCTTCCATCTGGATCTTTTGCTACGACCAGAGCCTTCAATGACTTATCTAAAACAGTCTCCCGAAACCATGCTGTAATTTCTTCCGGTATATGATCAGGAATATCAGATAACGAACATTTAATAGCTTGCATGGGCAAAAGTAAGACATCGTGTGCATCGCTAGGCACTGCGCACAGATCATCACTTGTTACCACATAAATGTTCCCAAAATCAACAAAGAATATTTTATTTGGTTCTTTCTCTATGATTACCCCCCTACGCCAGTTTCCGTCAGTATACTTGGCAAGGCACAATGTGCCAGGGATCAAGTGAGATGTTCTTAAATGCAGCAAAACTTGACTTAATTGTGTAATATTATGGGACAGCTGTTCTAAAATACTTGCATTTCTTCCAAGCTGGCAATAAAATGTCCAAGGGTCATCAACATGTGTTATGTACACGGATTCTTCACTTCCAATTTTCATGTCATGTGTAGAATAGAAGTAAGAATGGAGCTGAACAGAGAACTCCAGAGGTTTCTGAAGTTTTACTGGTCTTGCAAGTCTCTTTTCTACCAAAAAGTGACATACACTCCGGAAAGGTGTTAGCAGATCCACCACATTAAACAGTTCTTCATCATGAATGGAAGCCAGAGCAAATATTGTGCACTTTAATTGTAGACTGTTTTCCTGTGCATTATCTATAAATTCAACAAAAGCTTGGATTGCCTTTTCATCCCAAAGAAAAGGATTTTGTCCCATTGGCTGAATTAAATTATAAAGGCTGCACCTAAAAGCCTGAAATTTAGCCTTCAGAAATTCTTCAGTAATTGAATAAATATTCTTCACAGATACCATTTCTTTGTCTCCATAATCTACAAATATGATGTTGACATGCTCTGAAGATTGTGCCCCGATAATTAGAGCTCTGGACCATTTTCCATCTGCTGTTCGTTTTGCCAGACAAACAGGAGTCGTTCCCTGGTGGGGAGGAGATGTGTTGTTGCAATAGTCCTGAATACTACACATGAGTGCTTTAAAGCTTTGTGTGTTCCTGGTCAGCTGACACCAAAAATAGCCGGGATTTTCAATGCAAGATACTCTGACTTCCACTGTACTTCCAACTTGTAGCTCTTCTTTACAAGTAGAGCCTGGCTCAATTCCCAAGAAATTCTGTACCAGAGGAGAATAAACAGACACTCTTTTCTCGTTGTCCTGAACAAGTCCAGCTGAAACGTTTGTTGTAACTGCTATGTCAGTCACTACTTCTGGAACAGCTGTAGTTTTACCATATCGTATATCTTTTTGTTCTACTTCCTTCTTGGCAGAAGATATTCTGTTGCTGTCTGTGGTAAAATGGTTTGAAACATGCCCTGGAGAGTGGACCCTTACAGAAAGACTGTCCTTCGTTTCAAATTCCTGGTACTTGGCAAATCCAGCTTGAGCCATCACCTTACTAATGTTTTCCTCCCCTGTTCTTGATTCATCAAGAATCTCAATAATATACTGATTATCCTGCTTATCAAGCACATGGATAACTAACTCTTTGTGGAGCACAGTCTTTTTAAAAAATGAAATCGCCTCTTGGCTCCAGTTTTCTCCCAAAGGCCAAATATCGGCCAGGGTGCACTGCAGGGCCAATACTGGTAGCCGCCGAAACTGAGGGAGTAGCATCCTCACGTCATACCGGTCCACGTTTTCCGAATTGCCCCGGTCAACTAAGAACACATCCACATTCTGGTCGTCCAGTCGGGTGACCATAGCCCGGAAGTAGCCATTTTCTTTCCATTTGACACAGCAAAGGTCATCGGCTTCAGGTTTCAAGATGACACCATCCAGCTTACTGGCGGAGGCATAGAAACTGCACATTTTCTTCATCAGTTTGCTGAAGGTGCCATTGTGTTTCCTCAACCTGATCCAAAACTCAGAAGGATTTTTCACAAACTCCACCTGGGCATCATAGAAGGTGTTCATCTTTAACCTGAGAGATGGTAAGGTGGGGAGTGAAATCTCTTCATCCATTTCTTCCGCAGAAGATTGACACTGAAAAGCTGTTTCTGGTTCCTCTTCCTCCTCCTCTTCCTCTCTGCCCTGGCTCTGAAGGAAGCGGTCAGCCAAGCAACAGGACTGTACTCCGAACACACAGTTCAGATTAATCCCATCTTCGCCATATAAGGTGACGTAATACACATGCTCGAAGGAACAGTAAAATTCAATCTTTGCGTTCACTGCCTGGCCCAGAATCAGGGCCTTCAGGTCACCGACCTGTGACCGAGACCAGCCTCTCCCACCATCCCAGAGTCCGTACAGTGCGCAAGGGTAGGTCACCACGGGCATCCGAAAATATTCAGGCAGCAAGTAGCGGAGGCTGCTGCAACTCACTAGCTCCTTCCTTCCGTAGTCGACGTGAAGCACCTGGGCACAGCGCTGGGGCCGGAAAGTCTCCAGCAAGAGCGCCCTGTACCAAAGTCCATCCAACCCGCAGGATGCGCAAGGAGAGCCCGGCTTGTCTGGGCTCTCCTCTCTCTCCTCCCAGGGGGCACTGGTGGGGTGCTGGTCCCCAGTCCCCGGGGAGCCCCGGTATACCTGAGCCATGCTCTCGGAGAGGCGGTGGATCTCCTGCGAGAGGCTGCGGAGCTGGCAGTGAATGCGGTGGGGATGGCACACCTGCGTAACCACCACGGGCTCCGTCACGCCCAGCTGCAGCTGAGGGTAGAAGTAATCCAGGCCAGGCTGCTCCTGCTTAGCGGGGGCTCGCGGGACCACCGGGGCCCTGGGGCCCAGGACAGGCGTGGTGGCCGAGAGGTAGCGCTTAAGCAGAGAGCGGAAGAGGCTGTCGGGCACCTGCTGGGCCAGGCCGAGCTCCTGCATCTGCTGGGACAGTTCGGGCACCTCCAGGAGCACCAGGCGGTGGAGCAGCAGCACGTCCAGGACGCGCCCGTGCACTTCCTTGCCCTGCAGGTGGCTAAGGAAGTCCACGGCGCTGGCCGCCCAGTGCTGGGGCTCGCCCCCGCCGCCCGCCGGCACCAGGCTGGCCAGCACGCAGCCCAGCACCTCCGACGGCAGGTGGAAGAACTCGCTGCGCCCGGGAGCCAGTGAGCCCGCCCCGGCCGCGATGGTGCGGCCCTCGTCCAGCAGGAAGACGCGGCTCTCCTGAGCCTGCCGGCTGACCACGCGGCCGCGGTGCCACAGCCGCCCCACCTGCACCAGGCACAGCTCGCCAGGCAAAGCCGAGGCGCCGCCCAGCATCCATGGGCCGCGCGCGGCTGCCGCCGCTTCCTGGATCTCCCGGCTCAGCCGCACGTACTCGTCTCGCCGCTCGCCCAGCAGCCCCCACAGCTGCACGGGAATCACCTCGGGCTGCACGTCCACGAAGGACACCCGCAGCACCAGCGAGGCCCCCGGCGTCGGCAGCCCCGGCGTCGAGCACATCTCCTCCGCGCCGCCCGGCCCGGCCCGCGGAGCCCAGGCGCCGCTAGGAGGAGAGCCCCGCAGACGCGGCCTCGCCGGACACACGGACAGGGAAGGATACCCGGCCCGTGGAGCGGGCCGTGCAGTGGCGCTGGCGGTCCTGGGGCGGGACATTGGCTGTGCGCTCTCAGCGATGTAGCCTCGGAGCCTGTCGCGGGCAGTCTCGTCTATGAACTTGTTGGATCACCTGGATAGAGTTATGATGAGGGTTACATTAAACTTGAGAGAGAATATTGAGGCTGTTAAATGCTTCCTTCCCCATGATTACCCCGTGTGTTTCTTTGCTGTTTGCCCACTTTGCAGGCGTTTGGTCTCCATTTACGCACGGAGCTACGGTAGAACCAGACACCCATACACACTTGTAAAACTGGTAAAAATCTGAATTTGTGGGTTATTCCAATGTCATTTTGCTGGTTTTGATTGTGTACTACAGTTGTTCAGGATTTGGGTAGGACTGGGTGAAAAGTGCATGGAAATTTCCTGGACATTTTTTGCAGGTTTGAAATTAGGTAGTGCTACCCTTTCAATTTTATTCTTTTTCCTCAAAATAGTTTTGGCTATCTAAGGTCTTTGCTTTTTCAAATGTATTTGATTGGGTTGGTCAAAAAATTCATTCAGGTTTTTCCATATATTACAGAAAAGCTGTAACAAACTTTTTGGCTAATTCAATGGAATATACTTGTCATTTCTGGGGGAAAAAAATCTTGAGATTTTTATTAGGATTGCTTTGAAGATAGTGATCAATTTAAGAAATGACATCTGAGCAATATTGAGTTTTTCAGTCCATGGACATGGTTTCTCTCTCTGTTAACTGAAGTATTCTTTACTTTGTCTCAGCACTGTTTTATAATTCTCAGTGAACAAGTCTTGCATGTAATCTGTTAGATTTATACCTAAGTTTTACATGTTTTTTGATGTTATTGTAAATGATATTGACAAAAAAATTTTAGCTTCCAGTTTTTCACTGCTAGTAAATAGCACTATATTTATAGTTTTGTGACTCCCAGGTAAAGAATCCACCTGCCAATGTAGGAGATTCAAGTTTGATCCCTGGGTCAGGAAGATCCCCTGGAAGAGGAAATGTCCACCCATTCCAGTATTCTTGCCTGGAAAATTCCATGGACAAAGGAACCTGGCAGGCTACAGTCCATGGGGTCACAAAGAGTCAGACACGAAACTGATTGAGCAACACATGCACACACATATATTGACCTTATATCTTGTGATTTTCTAAGACTCACTTATTCCAGTAGCTTTTTTTCATATAGGTTTCTTGGGAATCTGCACAATTCTACACAATTGTATGGCTATATAATCAACACAGTTTTATCTCCCTAATTTTTATACTCTTTTATTTCTCTCTTACCTTATTATAATAGCTAAGATATCCAGTACAGTTTTGACTAGACATGGTGAGAACTGATATTTTTTCTTATTCCTGATTTAGGAAGAAAGCCTTCTCTTTTTCACCAGTGTGATATTAGCTGTAGGTTTCACTTAGATCCTTTTCATCAAGTTGAGGAAGTCCATTCTGCTTCTAGATTGTTGAGAGCTCTTATCATGAAAGGTTATTGAGTTTTATCAAATACCATTTCACATTCTAATTAGATAATGTTAGTAAGTTGAATTATATTTATTGATTTTTGAATATTGAACCAACCTTGTATTCTTGGGATAAATCCCTCTTGGGGATGATGTATTATCCTTTTTATAATGCTGAATTGAATTTGATAATATCTTTCACACCTATATTCATCTTTAAACTTTTTTCAGATTTTTTTTCTGTTGCAGTAAAATATACAAACTTATCATTTTAATCATTTGTAAGTGTTCAGTGACATGACATTAATTATATTCACATTGTTGTGCAACAGTCACCTCTGTCCATCTCCAGAGTTTTTCATCATTCCAGACTGAAACACTGTACTAATTAAATACTGACTTCTGATGCTCCCTCTTTCCAGCCCTGGTAACCCCTAACCTACAATTTGTTTCTATGAATTTGATTATTGTAGGTATCTCATACAAGTAGAATCATATACTATATGCCCATTTGTGTCTGGCTTATTTCATTCAGTTTCAAGATTTATCCATGTCATAATATGTCTTAAAATGTCCTTATTTTAAAGCTGACTAATATCTCATTGTATGTACATACCACATTTTGTTTATCCATTCATTCATCTGTCAGTGGACATTTAGATTATTTCTACCTTTTGATCATGTGAAAATGCTACTATGAACATTGGTATACAAGTATTTGTTCAAGTCCCAGCTTTCAATCTCTGAGTTATACTTAGAAGTGGAATTGTTGGATCATATGATAATTCTGTGTTTCATTTTTGAGGCAACCCCATACGATTTTGTATCACAATTGCATCATTTTCTGTTTTCACCAGCAATGCACAAGGGTTCCAGTTTCTCCACACCTTTATCAACTCTTAGTGTTTTGTTTTTTAAATAATTGCCATCCTAATGGGTGTAAAGTGGTGCTCATGGAGTTTTTCGTGTCTATGTATATTAAGAGAAATTGGTCTGTAGTTTCCTTTTTATAAATGGATTTAAGTATTTTGGACTGTATTTTATGTATTTTAGACAGTATTTAAGTATTTTGGACAGTAAGTAAACACATGAGAAGTCAAGGATGTCCTGAAGGTTTCCTGGTTGTAGTACAAGGTGTGTAGTGCAACAGAGGCTCTTGAAGAAACGCAGATTGTAAAGGGCAGGGAGAAAGGGTTGGAACCAAAAAATACTGATTTAATTATTGTGAATTTTGAGCTCACAAGGACTATGGGCCATCCTGGTGGGAGATATAAAGGGAGCAGTTGAGAAACATAAGTGAAGCTGGAGGAATGAGTAAGGACCAGAAACACAGATAAAGCTAACTTCTGTTCCGGGAGATAGTGAAGGACAGGGAAGCCTGGCGTGCTGCAGTTCATGGGGCCGCCAAGAGTCGGACACGACTCAGCAACTGAACAATAACAACCATATACTGAGTGCCGATACTCTAGTGTTTAGGAATTACCAGTCCAAGTGTAGTAGCTGAAGTCACAGAAATGTACGGGTCCTCCAAGACAGAGAAGGCCAGGAACAGAACATTGAAGAACGAAAATTTAAGTGTGTGACAGCTAAGAAACAGTCAATACTGATCAGTTCAGTTGTTCAGTTGTGTCTGACTCTTTGTGACCCCGTGGACTGCACACACCAGGCTTTTCTGTCCATCACCAACTCCCGAAGCTTGCTCAAACTCATGTCCATTGAGTCAGTGATGCCATCCAAATGTCTCATTGTCCGTTGTCCCCTTCTCCTTTCGCCTTCAGTCTTTCCCAACATTAGGGTCTTTTCCAATGAGTCAGTTCTTCACATCAGGTGGCCAAAGTATTGGAGCTTCAGCATCAGTCCTTCCAGTGAACATTTAGGGTTGATTTCCTTTAGGATGGACTGGTTGGATCTCCTTGCAGTCCAAGAGACTCTCAAGAGTCTTCTCCAACACCACAGTTCAAAAGCATCAGTTCTTCAGTGCTCAGCTCTCTTTATGGTCCAACTCTCACATCCATACATGACTACTGAAAAAACTATAGCTTTGACTAGATGGACCTTTATTGGCAAAGTAATGTCTCTGCTTTTTAATATGCTGTCTAGGTTTGTCATAGCTTTTCTTCCAAGGAGCAAGCATCTTTTAATTTCATGGCTGCAGTCACCATCTGCAATGATTTTGGAGCCCAAGAAAATAAAGTCTGTCACTGTTTCCATTGTTTCCCCATCTACTTGCCAAGAAGTGATGGGACCAGATGCCATGATCTTAGTTTTCTGAATGTTGAGTTTTAAGCAACAAGGTATAAGTGTTCTTTTTGCTAATATAAACATTTCAAGTCTGACTTTCTAAATTAAGCTACTTTCTGTTTCAATTCTGAAAAGTAAAGATTAAGCTTTAAAAATTGTCTCTAAATTTGTTATCATTTTAAATTCAAAGACGCACCAGGACGAAATCACACAAGGACAAAACAAAGCCCTTGACAACCCATTAGGCGTTTTAAAGCATTTATTTTAAAAATCAGAATGATGCGCTCTATTTACTCACATATATTCCTGTTTGTTACCAGATATTTTCAGCAAACAGACATCTTTAAGCCTCTTCATCTGCTTTTATCAAACGTTCAAAGTGGATCCTGCTGCTGTTGACAATCACAGCAGCCCGCTAGGGGTAAAGTATGGGGAGAGAAAAATAATCACATACTCCTCAGAATTCAGAAATAATAAAACACTTGAATGGGTAAAACGTACATACAAATAGTGACAGGATTTTCATATACACTCTAAAAGGTAGAATAATATAAACATATCATATTTATTAATTGCTCATCATCCAACCAAATATTTTGTATTATTTAAAACTATCAAATTCTAGATTTTTGTAGGATAGCTATTAAACTGATGACTACTTCTTTAAAATTACCTGTTTAAAGACACACGATCTTTTGAAAATGCAGTTAAGCACTGCATATGGTAAGAAATCACATGAAATCAAGTGTTACTGACCTGATATAATTATTCTTAAGGTAGGAAGAACACAGCATATGACTTAACACGTGTACATGTTTTTTTCTCTCCACCCACCCCCATTCAATCTCTGAATTCAACAGATTTCTTCTAATTAACTTCTATTTGAAGTTTTAAAGAGAAACAGAGATGGTCCTTGCTTGCAAGAGTTCATTCATCTAGGGGAAGCAGACTCATGTCCATGCAGACAGACAGACATCCGCAGGAGGGGAAGCCATGGGAACAGAGGTGTTGAAGGTCTTCAGGTCTTCAGAGATCTTCCTAGATGTTAAAGTAGGACTTCACCAGTGAAAGTGAAGACGAATGGGTGGTAGTGATGGGGAAGAATGTTAGGCAAAGAGCACAAAATGAACACTGCCTAGGAAGCCGCCAAATGAAGAACATCTTCTGGGGTGATGCGT